GCGATCTTACGAAGGAATATTTACTTATTAGGGAATAAATAAGACGAGGATAATACATACATATAGCCGCGATAAGAGCAAGGCAGTGTATAGTGGAAGCGCGAAATTGTATATCCCCCGCGAAGGGGTGGGAAATTTTCGAAAGATAAACGTTTTATTTACGAAATATTCCATTCGAACGTGTTTCTTTTCTGTTACAGTACGCAGTTACTTACGAATTTAATTAAGATCGAATTTTTTTTCCTCCCCTTTCTTTTATTTTATTCATTGTTTCCGTTTATCTTATTATCCAAATAAATTGAATCTCAAAAATAATAACGCGCGATCTCGATAATAATAAGCCTTGCTCCCCGCGATAATTGCTTAGATCGTTAACTCACTAACACGATGAAACATGTTTGCTATTTATTAAGAGTAATTAGATAGTGCGACGAAAAAAAATAAATAAATAATAAATATATTTCAATGCGTTCGCGGTAAAGTGGCGGCCTTCGTTCGAATGTTGAAAATTTTCGTTGGTGTTCACTGCCTTTGATCGAGGGTCGCTTAAACCGTCGATTAAGTCGTCAAGAGTTTTCAAAAAGTTTGAACGGACATTTGGTAGGGAAACTTAGGTAGAATACGCACGATAACATGCATCAGGTATATATATATATATAAAAAAAAAAAATGCAATTCCGAATATCGGGGCTGATAAAGATTATAGAAGCCTCTCTGTAATAATAACGAATAATAGAAGCGTTAGCACGCGTTGAAAAAGAAAAAAAAAAAAAAAACAGCTTTTCCGAACTAGCCGGAAGCCTCGTTTTTAAAAAGAAAGAAAAAAAGAAAAAGAAAGAAAGGAAGAACCGTGATCAAAGTTCACCGAAACATTTATATATCTCTATAGGAATACTCGAAAGAATCACAGTGACTTAATAACGTTCTCAGTGAGAACATAATGTTTCGATTAATTTTAGAGAAACCGTTGTAAATACGGCCGCGACCGGTTGTATCGTGGTTCGTGTTCTTAAAAAAATAAAAAAAAAAAAAAAAGAAAGAAAAAAGAAAAAAAGAAAAAGAAGGAAAGGATGGCGTTTTCAAAAGCTTTAGCTGAACATACAGATTTAATCGCAACACTGCAAAGGTTGTACACTGATTCAAATAATTACTTTTCATCTTTTTCGCAGAGAGATGATCAAGAGAAAAAAAACCTCCGAGGTTTTGCCTCCGTAAAGATAAAGATCGACGGTGTCGTCCACCGACATTCGCCGTTCTCTCTAGTCGATTTAAATATAGAAGCAGAAGTCTCGTCGCGACTAATCCCCGTGGAACGATATCCCCAAAAGATATCCCCCGTTTACGATCGTTAAAGTTAGCAGACGTGGTTGATGAACGATTCATGCTCCGAGCCTTGCATCGAGTGAACCTTCTCTTCGTGGAATCGCGTGTAATTAAGGAGAGGGGTGGGGTAGGGGGAAGATAAAAGGTCAGAGACGCTCGAAGAAGCGACGTTGGTCGGCCCCGTTATACCGTTACTTCCGAGTGGTTGTATCCGAGAAAAATCTCTGGCCCTCCCCCTCCTTTTAACTGTTTCGAGATTACTTACTACAAGCTTCCCTTTTCATTCGACGAATATAATAGAACCGATATAGAGAGAATTTCAGGATTTCAGGGGGAAAATTCTCTCGAGGGGGCGCGTACAATAAGGATAGGATTTCACAGGGAAGTGAATCAATCAATTTTCGATGTCGTTTACAGGCAGAGAGACGTGAAGGAAAACGTAAGAAAGGCGAATCGTAAGAGGGCCATCTTCGTGGATGGCCAAAAGCGGAACCCGCGTCACGGAAGTCCTGAATGGACGGTTATCGATCCGCGAAACGGTTCCTCCTTTCCTTTTTGGGGAAAAAATCGACAATCGAAAAAAAAGGGGAAACTTATGCGCGAGAGAAAAAGCTGAATTACTCACACGATCTCTTTTTCTTTGTTTGTTTTGTTGTGTGATGATCGACAAACAAATCATTCGCAAGAGAATCGAAACGATTTTCTATAAATGATGTGCAAGATTCGTTGTTCCAAGATCGTTCTAAGATTGCATCGAGATTACTTGAAGGAATAAAGCGATTTGAAGCGAATATTTTTTCGAGATTGCGAGTCAAGATTCTTTGAAAATTTCGTTGAAAATATATTCAGGAATACATCGATATAATAATATTCAACGCACATCGTTGTATATATAATCCAGTGAGGTACAGTTTCTATAAAAATATTGTATCTACTCAGATTACAAGAGATAATCGATTAATACAAACGCACATAAGACGATTAGAATTTTCAATAAAAAGAAAGAAAATAATAATAAAAAAGTTTTAACGAGATCCTCGTTAAAAATTGAAATAAAAAAAAAAAAAAAACTTGGTATGCAGTAATTATCCGCATTGGTTAGTTAGAAAACAATCGTGGGTCAATACTGACGAAGCATATTTATTCGTTCACGATTGTTAATTGAACGAATCACTACCTCGGCCTCGACTCGTCCTAATTTGCTTTTAACCATCCATTTCGAGGATCCCCGAACGCGCCTCCGTGGATGAAAAATAAATCAAAAGCAGATGATGCGAATGCCGGAATTCTCCATCGAATCTCTTCCTTTTCGTCTGCCTGCAAACGATAGTGGCCAGAGATTAAAATACACGCGATCTCTCCTAGTCATTTACGTGAGATACCATCGAGCTACCACATTCGTGTGTAGCACCGCGTGTATACCCATTTACGCATCCCAGTCACGACCAGGTTTCGCGTTTTATTTCACTCCATTACCAAAAGCTTCGGGGGATTGATATTAAAAGCGTGAAGAAAATTTAAAAAAGAAAAAAAAAAAAAACAAGAAGAAGAAGAAAGCGGCGGTGAAAGTTTCGCGTAAACGATGATACAGTCGTGATGTCAGCCAAAGATCACGAAAGATATAAATACATATATGTATATGTATTTAAAAAAAAAAAGGGGGGAGGGGAAAGAAGTATATAGTGTACAAGCGTCATAGATATTTTAATAAGAGATACCGTTCAAAGAGATTTAATATACTAATATATATATATACATGTATAAATAATATACATACAGTAGGACGATATATAGACGACACTCAATAGCAAAGCGTTGAAGTGATAAACCGTAAACGGGATCGGAAACGTTACCAATTTCTCGAGGTTTTTCTATCGCTGGACGGAATCGATCGTCACGATGATGCGAGAGAGAGAGAGAGAGAGAGATAGAGAAAAGATCGAATCCCTTCGATCGCGAAAATCGTCGTCGCGACTGATCGGAGAGAAAGGAGAGAGAAAAAAAGAAAAAAAGAAAAAAAAAAAATAATAATCAAAGTTCGTTCGATTTCTGTTCAAAACGAGGTGCTTCGTCGCGACCTTCGTGCGTTCCACCGTCTCGAAACGATGCATGCACGCGAAAATACATTCTGCTACTGAGTACCTGAGATTCATCCCTTCGATTTGCTTTCAACGAGCAACGTCCCAACGATCGAAAAAACCAACGTCCGTTGCTCATAACCATCGCTCTGCAACGTGTAACGTGTTCAACCGCTTTCACTCACGTGTGTACTACTCCATCGATGGAAATATGGAATCGTATTCTTACTCCTCTTCTTCTTTCAAACCCTTTCGAGTTTAGTGAGAGAGTCGCGCCTATCGCTGAAATCGGATGTCGCGTCGTGTTTCTCGCGATTGTTGCAATTCGTAACTCTTGCGAACGATATACGAATTCCTAATTCGGAATTTCACTCGCGAGCACGTTCCAAGATCGATACGGTGTTTTATAACAGTTATATACAAAGTTGCAACGGAATTATCAGCGGAGAAATATGGTAATAGCCGATTGATCAGTCAAAAAAGCATTGAAGCGCGTATATCTCGACGATCGGAACGTCCAGCAGAATTATCGGCGAGAATTTATGGAAACGGACGATCTCTCTTCTTCGTGCATTTATTCCAATTACTCTTTCACCCAGCCTCTCGCGCAACGTCCTTTCAATCCTGCTAAACGGATCTGCTACGAAACGAGTTCAATCGAGTTCAATGTTTATGCTACGAATGAATTCGCTCGTTTTATTCGCGGAGCGTCGTTTTTAAACCGGCACTATTCTCTTCCTCGTTTTGTTTCTCTTCTCTTCTTTCTTCTCTTTTCCAATTTTTTTCTTTTTTCTTTTTTCTTTTTTTTTTTTTTTCTTTCTTTCTTTGCTTCGTTTGTATCATCGTTAACCAAACGTTCGTTACTTTACGAACAAACGAGTTTGATTCTGATCGGAAAAATTTCGTTTCATTAATCGATGTATTTTGTTATTCGATCTGTTAATTTTTTTTTTTTTTATCTTTTCTCCCTTCGTTTCGATATTCGAGAAAGATCGTCACCAACGATAGCTCGCGGATAAATATTTCTCACTCGTTTTAGGATTAAGACGATGCGGATTAAAGGGAATGTTCGAAGTG